AGAACAAGACTCTGGAGAAGATAGGTGAGTGGCAAAAAGGGGGCTCCCCTGATCATGTTTCTATTGGCTCCCCCTCCTCCATTTTATCTCTGTCCTACATAGCCAATCCACCCTCTGCAGAAAAGGGTCAGGAGGTATCTCACATCCTATTACAGAAGGAAAATAATCTTCAATGCCCCCCCCCAAATAAAGACAAAGAAACTGAGCAGGAAAATAAGATCTAATCCTATTGTAGTGACGTTCACTCCAATGTTGCCATCTTTGTGGGTCTCACAGGTTCAGAGGAGGAGAGGGAAGAGGGGGAGAGGAGGGCCAAAGGAGGACTTGATATTTAAATCATCTTGCCAGAAACTCTAGAAATTCTGGGAACTCTGGTCTTGTTGCTGTTTCTGCAGAGCCCCCAGTGGGGAAGGTGACCCATAAAGTGAAGGATGAGAGGCTGGAGATCCTCACCTGCCAGGCCTTTGGCTTCTACCCCAAGGAGATCCAGGCCACCTGGAAGAGGGACAGAGAGATCTGGGAACAGGAGACCTTCCATAGGAACGTGGCCCCCAACTCAGACGGGACCTATTATGTCCAGCTCAGCATTGACATCGACCCCATGGAGAGGGACTGTTTTCGGTGTCACCTGGAGCACGAGGGCTTGCAGGAGCCCCTGGACTTGGCCTTCAAGGAGGAAAGAGGTGAGAGGCTGAGAGGGTAGAAGTAGATTTTAGAGAAATGTTTGAAAATCTGTGTGTGTGTGGGGGGGTAGTTTTCTTCTGCAACATCTCATGTTTTCAGATGGAGAGCAGGAAAGGTCCTGCGTTTAGCAATGGGAGAGAAGTGGTTTCTGTCAGAAGAGTTGGAAATGGTAATTTTATAGCAACGGTATGAAGATATATGAGATGTTTGGTTGTGGCTCCTCCTTCTGCCCTTCAAGGCCATTCCCTCCTCCCTCTGCAGCCTTGGAGGGGAGGGGCTTCCTTCGGGTGGGGGCACTTCCTGGAGGCCAATGCAGGTCGGGAAAGGCTTCCATATTTTTCAGCATCTCCGCTTCAGGGAACTCAGCATCTCTCTAATCAGAGCCCTCTTTCTCCTTCTTTAGGTGCAATGCGGCGGATTCCCGTGGTGGGAATTGTTACAGGCGTAATTGTTATAGGTGTAATCCTGGGAGTTTGGATTCTCTTCCTGAACTGTAAGTGAAACAGGCACATCCACTGACACCCACCCCTGGGTCCTTCTGTGTTGACTGTTTTGGGGTGGATGGGCAAGAGCTTCTCTGAGAGTTGCAGTCAGGGCCCCCACGAGACCCTTCCCCACAAACAGCATTTTGAACAGGAATTGGAAAGGAAGAAGAAACTACGCAGCCCTTTTTTCACCCTTGTAAACCTCAAAATGTTCCACATTCCTCATATCTGGGAGGAAGCCTCTTTGGCCTCAATGGACAGAGGAGCAAATATCAGGAGTCCCCTAAATCATTGCTAACCAACTGGTGGGCCACAGCCAACTGGTGGACCAGGAGGAAATTTTGGTGGTCTGCAGAGAAATTTCACCCCAGAGCATCCCTCAAAGCAATTAATCCAGGCTGCATGGGAACACAAGGCTGTGCCACCCACATGGTCCACGGGAACCCTCCCCACCCACTCACTCCTTACCTGGCAAACTTGCCCGCTAAGTTGCTATTTTTCCTTTTTTTCCCCTGACCATCATCCGTTCTGCTGTGCCAGGAGATTTAAATTAGCTAGAAAGCAGGAAATCATTGGATTTCTTGCCTTCTAACTAATCTTAAGATCTTTGGCTCTGCTTTTAAGCAGAGCTGAACCTTCCTTAGGACTGAAGCTTCTATTATTCAGTGCAGACTCAGGTAGCCAATGGCAGAAAGATAGATCTCTGAATGAATCTGTGATTCTGCAAGCAACTCAATCTGCCTGCCTGCTTTGCCTGATGTTGGGTAAAAGTTGCTCTTTTTAAATAAAAAATTCAATATTTACAAAAATATTTATAATATTTACATACAAGCCATGCCCAGCCAGTCACATGACCACCAAGCCA